AGGGTTCCCCCCAACACCCCTCAGATAATCCTTCTAGCCAGCCTGTTTCTGTGTTTCTGACAAGGCCCAGGGGAGTCCCGACATTTGCCCAGTTAGCCTCAGCCTGGGGTGTGGGTCTCACCTGGGGCAGGGCCTCTAGCACCAAGGCCATCTTGGCTGCATCCCCGTATTTCTGGTAGGCCTCTGCCTTCAGTTTCATCCGCTCGGCCTCTGCCTTGCCCATCGACTCGATGACTGCCGCCTCTGCCTCCCCAATTTTGCGGATCTTCTCAGCCTCTGCCTGTGCCAAGAGGACTTGCTTCACCCTGGGGGAGTCCGGGTTGGGGAGGATTAGTGGGAAGTGCCAGGAGACCCTCAAACCTTGCCAGGGGACCAGTAAATGCTTAAGCCCTCTGCTCTTGCAGGTGTCAGGGTGGGGGACCCATGAAGTGGGGTGCTCTGGCTTTGTGGCTCTGGCTGCTGGCTTCCAGATACAAATGGGAAGGCACCTGACCAGGATGCCCTCTATGCCAAGTACCATTCCAGGCCCTTGAACCTCCTGTATTGAATTCAGTCTTCCTAACAATAACCCTGTTGGGGAGGCAGGTCACCCCCACTTCACAGTGAGTAAGCAGGCACGGGGGAGCAGTGGCTTCTGAGCTGCGGTCAGCGGAGTGGAGGGAGTGGATGGAGGGCAGAGGAGCCTGACTGGCCCTCAGCCCTGGTGCCCAGCAGCACTCACTTTTCACCCTCAGCGATCTGCTGTATGCGATGAGCCTCAGCCTCCGCGGGGCGGCGCACAGTGGCAATGAGCTCCTTGTCTGTGCGTAGTATCTCCTGTGCCTCCACTGCAATCTGCTTCTTGCGCTGCACAACCTCAATCTCAATCTCTTCCTGCCGGATCTTCTGCTGCTCTCGGGCCCCTTGAAGTTCATAGGCCAGCTGGGCCTCAGCTGTCTATGGAAGGAGTATGGTCAGCATGTCAGAGGCTGGCTGCTAAGTCTTGAGCCCTGAGTCCCAACCCTACCGCTTCTCACCTTGACGTTGACCTCCTCACTGAAGGCTGACTTTTGCAGCTCGAAGGCTCGCTTGGAGTCAGCAATCTTGGTGTCTGCCATGAACTTCACATCCAGCATCTCCTTTTTGCACTCAGCTTCCTGGGAGCAGGGAGGGCAGCTGCTGTGGGTCCCCTGAGCAACCATGGTCCCGCTACCTCTGAGCTCCCTGTCCCTGGGGGTGGGAAGAAAAGCCCAC